TTCATCATGGTGTGGGGCTGCATCAGCATCCATGGCGTGGGCGAATTGATAGTGGTTGATGAAAACATGAATCACTAGAAATATATCGATGTTTTGGAGTCAGGCTTGCTACCTTCTATTACTAACATGTTTGGTGACAGGAATTATCCATTTTTTCACCAGGATGACAATGTTCCTTGTCACAGGACCAGAGCAGTTGATGATTGGTTTGACCAACAGGACATTCGCAGGGTGATGTGGCTTGCCCAGAGTCCGGATGCAAACATAATAGAGAATGTGTGGAATGATATGTCAAAACTTTGGACAAATGCCCGTCTAACAAGCAGAGAAACTCTGTTATATTCAGTGTTTCATGCTTGGGCCAGCATAAGCCCTGAACGCATCAGACAATTATACGAATCCTTGCTTCGTAGACTGGCACCTATTATTAGGTCACGTGGCTATTCCACTAAGTACTAATTTTGGACTTGAAATTGCATATTTTGGTAGAATGTATATTTTGTTCTCATTTTGTGATTTTTTGTGAAATTTGATGTTAATAAAATGATACCAGGAGCATATCATTCCACAGTCATTTATCTCCCCCATAGTATTGGCTCAGTAGGGGTGACACTTCTTTTGTCCAGTGTGTGTATATTGGAACTGACTGTAAACACACCATATGTTAGTGCTATTGGAGGACTGAGCATAACCAAAAAGCCAGGTGGCCCTGAAAAGGGCGAGCCAGGACCAAGCACATGCTGTAATCTCTTGCATAAGATTGCAACATTGGAAGTATTATGCTATATTCACTTTAGCTGAATGTACAAGTTTTGACATCATTAGGCAGATATTCAAGATGTATTTTAACTCTTATTGTCTGGGATTAGTATGTTATATACACCTAGCTTTGCACAAGAGATCTATCTTGGAAAACCATTTGTGTTGAATAGTGGCATGATTCATGGTTATTTTCTTTGATGGGGATGATGCTGGAGTCATTGTGCCACATTATCATACAACTTACAGGTTCCTCTATTATCCTCAAGATATCATTTACTAGTACTAGCCCTACATGAAGCAATATGAAAAAGTTAATAAACTACAGTTGAAGTCTGCACTAGGAAAACCAACCCAACTTTCACCCCCCCCCCCTCCTATTTCTCACCCCCAGTGTCCAATTATGAACTCTTCAAGCTGGATCTGTGGGGGTGGGGTGGGTGCAGAGCAGGGTACCTCAGCACCTTACTCCATAATATCACCCCCTCCAAAAAAAGTATAATTTCAATTTTTTCATCCCAATGCCTACATATTATAGTAAAATTGTCCTCATGTACTTTTATATATTCATATTATTATTTTGTCCACGACTCTCCATCTAACAAAAACCCTGTACCTGCAAGTCATCTTCACTAAGTTATGGAAGAAATGTCCACAATAAAACCAAACAGTAGGTCAGATAAAGAAGCATGCGCAAGGTGCTCTATATACAGAATACACATATTGCAAACCTACAGAGGATCACCACTGGTGAAATGGGGAACAGCATGGAAAAATGTCAACTTGGTCAGATTTTTGGTGCTCTTTAATGCAAATTTTCTTTGTCTATAGTTCATCATTAAAATGTATAACCTCATTGACTGAATATTTAATTCGCAGATTGAACGTCTAGCAGATTGTATAGCCTCTCTGAAATTTTACAATGTCATCAACTGAGAATTCCATAACAAATACAAAGATTAGTTCGAGCCAATGACTGAGCTGCCAATGTATCCCAGCATTCCCCAAGTCTCCAGTGAGAACCCTCTCATTATTGAGCAAGTTCTCAGGTAAAGGAACGTACGTAAACCAAGTTCTACGTACTACAATATTAACTAAAACAAATGCATATTTACAAGCACACTTACTGTGTGACTAAGCTCTAAACTCCTAAGGTTAAAAGGACTAAGTCTACATATTTTAAATCAAAGAGAGATAAACTACAAGTTTGTAGATTAAACTATAAAATTCTAAGACTATGACAGGGCAAGAGACTCGAGTTCAAAGCCAAGGAGAGTTTTTCTATACAAGACTGTGGTAATCTGGATTGCAGGAGCAGTTAAAAGTTTATATGATTGTCCACATCAAATACCCAAGTTGATTTACATCATTGATTTTTCATACTGATTATCTTTATGCATTACATAGCCTTTACTAAAAAATATGTGGCTAAATATAATTCATTTATATTCCTTATATATTGCTAAATGGTTATATCCTTAAAAGAGAATAATCGGTAGCATATGAATATTCAAATATAATTCTCTCAATATACATACAGTGTACATATACATATTTGTAATATTTTGAAATCTGACTTAGCTTAATGTCTATTGGTCATGTAGCTGCCATATACCTGGGAATGGGCCTTGCACAGAAATTAATTTTCAAATGCAAAGTTTTTCTCGTGTTGGTTCTTTTTTTCAGAGACCAAATGTATTTGGAATTACAGCTGTTGCCAGCTCATTATAATTTTTTCCTGAATAGAAAAATGCGGAGATAAAAAGGAAGACTACCCAATAAGGAAATATTTAGTATTAATGATATTTTATCATATCTTTTTCTCTGTTCTTTTCAACTCTGAAAAAGTGCTACTTATATCTTATTGGGATGAGAAATGTGGGAAAGGTTATAAAATTGATTTTTGTTTTTGTCTACAATGCAGTATTCTTTTTAAATGTGTGGGTATATTTCTTGGATCTGGAAAATACGTCATGGATTTCCTTTTGCTTGCTCTCTTGCAATTGTGTTAGCTGTGACAAACAATGGCTTTCCCATAATGAACTTTCTGTTATAAAGTGTTTCAAGTTCTACAACTAGGATTATTCTAAAAACATATATAATTGGACGGTTTGTTATCACATGGTGAGAACAACACTGGTCAAGTAGAAAATTAGCCCTTTGCCCTGAATTACCTATTCAGGCTTCAAGTAACACCACAAGTGTTCACAATCATGGAAATTTAAAGAGAAAAGTAAACCGACATTTACACCAACACCATCAACAACAAATAAATATCACAGTAATATGATGATATCCAGCATGTAGTTACTAAACTGGACACTGACCAGTCAAAACAACTGACCACTTGACTACCTGCAGTTAACACAAGAAATGTGCCTGCATGTTCAAACCCCCAGGGACAGCACAGGTGGTCCTGGAAAGGGCACACTCCATGCATACAAATCTATTTGTCCTAGCTTTTTATTGGAGGTAAAAATTGAGTAGAGTCTCCTCCCTCCTCCTCTCCCTCTTCAAAGTCACTTGTTCCTTCATCTTTTTTGCCCACATCACTGTCTTTTATAAGGGTCTTTTCCCGTAAGATTGTCTTTTCTTTCTCTTTTAAACTTGTTTTTTCTCTTATTAATGTCTTCTCTTTTTCTTTAAGTGACTTTTCCTTGTCTTTCACCATTGTCTTTTCTTTTTCTTTCATTGCTGCCTTATTTTCACTGGATTGGTCCTGTCCTGGGGTTTCCTGCTCTTCAGGGTCTGAAGCACCAATTGGTTGTAGGCGCTCTGACTTGGGTTTAGAGTCTTTTTTATGAGAAGATATCCAATCATCTGCTATTTTTGTTTTCTCTGGAGAAAGAATGAAACATTTTATGAGATAGAATGTCACTGCTCTTTCTTGCATGCATGCACACACACACAGTTTGTAAAATCATTTTGTCACAGGCTGACAATTCAGTCTTCTGTGTATTGCATTTAACATTTAAATACAAGATAAGAATGCATTGCCAAAACTCGTTTAAATACAAAGGAGTATACATCCAGGCTATGAATTACAACATTTTTATGCTTAGAAAAAAAAAATCACCTTTGATGACAACCAATTTGTCAGGATCTGAGGCTTTTCTTCGTGAGCTTTCTTTGTAAAAAGTGCGTGACTTGTGCACCAGACCCTGCTGAATCCACTCATGAGCCACTGCCTCCTCTGGTGTCAAACGCTTGTTGGGGTCCCACCTGCGACAATTCAAATATTAAAGTGATGTTTCTGGCCACTGAATTTATGCTTTCCTACTATTTTGCTTTACAAAGCTATAAAAGAAGTTACTTTAATAAAGTGCAGAAAGTATCAGTTACAAGAAAAGAAAAGAAAAGTGGACTGATCATACTTTTCAAGTTGCAGGATATACATTCAAGGTGAAGCTTTTTTTAATATTATAGGATAACATAGTACTGGTAGAACATAATTTTTTCTCAGTGATAATATACAATATCATAATGATAATAAAACTCACACAGACAATGAAGAGAGGACACTTACTCTAAACACTTGGCAATATATATATAGTAATGATAATAAAACTCACACAGACTATGAAAGAGAGGACACTTACTCTAAACACTTGGCAATGAAGTCCAGGAAAGTGGCATCATTACATTTGATGGACATGGCCAGGTCCTTGGTTCCCACTCTCCTCTTCTTTCCCTTGCTGTTAGTTATACACCGGGGATTACCTTTGGAATCTAGACACAAAGAGAAAATATGTGTCAGATGGGAAATTGTCTTTGCTGCCACTATAATTTATGGGATGTTTATGTTACTATCTAATAAACTACTACAGCACTGTCTATATTTGTTAAGTACCTTAACACGGAACACAAAAAATATTCAGCAAAATTTCTAAATAAGATCGTATGTATGTATAAAAAAAAATGAATTTGTTTTTCACAAGAAAAATAAAAAGTAAAATGGCAACTATTTTGCAGCAAAAATAATAAATAAGCAAATCTTCCTTAAGCCATCCCACAATAACGTTGCATCCCTTAATAATAACAACAACAACAATAATAATAATAATAATAATAATAATAATAATAAACACTGCTACCACTCACCAAAGAAGAGCCTCCTTCTGGTGGCCTGATCTAACACATAGTTTGGTGGAGGTCCTAAAAGTTCCATGATACATGCTAGCTGCTCCACTTCATTCTCTCCAGGAAAGAGAGGATAGCCAGTGTACAGTTCTGCCAGTATACAACCCAAGCTCCACATGTCTATAGGCATAGAGTAAGGCAGACCCAGGATTACCTCAGGTGATCTGTAGAACCGGCTCTGGATGTAGGTGTATACTAGAAATATGAGAAGAAGAAATATATTAAGGTTGAAATAATTAAGGGAGACCCAGAATCAGTACAAAAATTCAACAGTATAACAAGAAAATATCACCACAAAAAAAGTATCCCTTTATTCAGGATCATATTCCCAACAGTACCTCAAGTATTTCATTAAAAAAACTACAAATTATGGTTCATCTACAATTGTGTTATGTTGTGTCAAAGCTCAACTGCTGCAATCCTCTCAGCTCACCTCTCTGATGCTCATAGCAACTTGAACCAAAGTCTATGACTTTTATTGAGCTCTGGCCTCTCTGCTTCAATAAAATATTTTCCTGAAACAAGTACAATCAAACCTTTTACTACTTTGAATTACAGTATTAAGTAAACATAAAAATAAAAGGAAAGTTAAAATAAAAGGAAAATCCATTTTTTTGACTGGAATCGTCATTTTTATGCTTATTAACACATCATGCCAATTACAAACAAAAGTGGCTATTCCAACCAATAAATGGTTGTAATAAAGCACACTATTCTATATTTTATTTCTATTACAAATATCAGTAAAATAAAACAATGCAGATTACCATACAAGCTTTAACAAAAATTACATTCACTATTTAAAACAAAAGGTATATGTATGTCAGCAATATAGCACCTATACTCACAGGCTTGAGGTCACAATGAATAATCTTTTCCTTGTAAAGCACCTTAAGACACTGTAGTAAAGAGAATGCAAACCGCCTGATGAGAGCTATACTGAAACCCTGGAAGTTGTTCTTCTTGATCAGCTCATAGAGATTCATGCTGAAAGAAGGGGACAGTACATGGTCACTTAGGGTCCAGAACTATCATGATCAATACAGCAATTTAAGACTAGTTAGCTGTAAAGGGTTCAAACAAACAAACAAACAAACAAATAAATAAATAAATAAATAAATAAATAAATAAATAAATAAATAATATTNTTTTGTGCACTGCCATCTACACCCTCTACTTTTTTGGCATCTGGCCCCACAAACCATACTTCAGGATAATCGTGGATCTCCTGCTTTTCGTATGCTGTGAGCTTTGGGCCGTAAATTTTTAGCACCTCTATAAAATTAAAATGGAATCAAAGATAAGAAGAACATATATATTTTGATAAAAACGACACAACAAAATCCCCAATTTGTCTTAAATTCTGTAAAACTTATCTTTTGTCTTATATAATTCATAAGCTACCTAAAAAATTAAAAGGACACTAAAATTTGTTTGAAAAAATGAAGCAAAAATTACATTAAATTTTCTTTTAAGCTTTAAAAAAATGCTTCTAAAATGTTATAGAAAAAAAAAAAAGAAAAAAAAATACTACATAGGGATCAAGTCCACTGAAAACCTCTTCATCCCAAATAACACACTTACCTTCTGGAGTCATAGGAATCCTATTCCCGTATGCATCACGCCGTATCCTATCCGGCTGCTGATTCACCAGCGTCGGTTGCCGTGTCAACGCTCCATCGGTGGGTATCTGCGGCAGTATGCTACTGTTTTCATACTGCTGTTTGTGTGAGCTACGGGTGTCGGACTGACTCAGTGCTGGCAAGGTGGGCGCTACGGTGGCAACCAGTTTCTGCAACAGAACAATTGGATCAATTGCGTTGGGTGAGATTTGTCACAACTGGCACAATCTGATTTCATTAGTTCTTGTTCCATCATCACTGACTAATATATTAAGTAAACATCTGACAACAACTTTTATTCCCAAATAGCAGTCTGGGTAAAGGTGAAATGAATCTGCTGATTTTCTTTTTCTACTATCAGGTTGAAATAAATCATTAAGAGGTTAAAGTGTTATATCTAGTAGGAAATAGCCATTTATGAAAAAAAAAAAAAAAACTTTTAAAATGGGCCTAAAATGATTGTCTGCCATTAGTATTAGAAAAATAAACTTAAAAAGGATTAAAATAATTTAATATGGATTCCAAAGAACAGAAATGATAAAATTTGACAAAATATTATTAAAAAAATAAAAAATAAAAAAAAAATAAAAACTTATACAAATCTCATTTAATAGCTTAAACCAATTCTCATCAGCCACTGCTATATACCAAGAGTCAGTGTATTTGTACTTACATCCTGATATGCATGGCTCTTTCCACTGGAGGTCTTGCTAGACTTTGTGTTAGTAATGGTGAGCTGGGTGGGGTATCTTGACAGGCCATTTAACTTCTGGGACCTCTGGTGGTGAATATTGTTACTACCAGGACTCTGCAGGAGAGAAACATGTAGGAATGAAATAAAATGCAAAAACATTTGATTAATATTATGGATGACACTCTTAAACAGATGTAGGATACATCTATTATCGGTTTTATACTGAATTATTTTCTCCTCTGAAAAAAAAAAGCTGATGAGAAAAATCGGAAGATGTCTTGCGGAAGTTCCTGGCAAAAATATAAAATAACATAAACTTATGTACAGATGAAATTGGCTAAAAGGATGATAGTCACCTAGCAGTAAATAAAATATAGAGTATCCTAGCAGTATTCAGCATACAAGTCATCTAGCAGCAAATAAAAACATACAAGTATCCTAGAAGCATTCAGAAATTAAAAAATCCTCACATATAGATTTTGTGTACTTATACATGTATTATTCATTCATGTACAATCCACAGAAGTAAATGACCACCTCATGGACTCATTGTATAAAGAAACACACAAATGTTTTTTCAAAAAAAAAAAAAAAAAAAAAAAAAAAAAACTATCACACAAATCCCTGTACAATTCCATATATTAATAACATGCACCTGTGCATATTCTATAGATGAAATTGATCACTTACATTTTAATCACTTCACTCATGGTAAATAAAAACATATACAGGTGTCTGACAAACACAGAAAGCTCCTACACATACATGTACATAATGACACATACTTCTGGAATCTATTGCCCTGCCTTCTTGTGTTTTCCCAGGCTTTGTGTGCAACTTATTCTTTCTGTGGTAAGCTGCCTTTGATCTTTTGCAATGACTTTTTCTCTTTTTCTCCGGTTTTCCTTGGGCCCTATACCCTCTCATCATCAGCATAAAAAACATCAACATTTTCAGATTTATGTACCCCTACGCTGTATAAATACTCCAGTAATCTGTGTTATCTTGTCTCTCTCTGTTTCTCGCTCTCTCTCTCTCTCTTGCTCTCTGTTGAGCGTATGAAAGAAACTCACTCGCTTGCCTTTTTATAGCTCTCTGCCCACATGGATGACACCTCATCAAGCAGGAGAGTGAGAAAAAATAAAAACAACAAAAAAACGAAAATGACTTGTGGTTTCCGGAAGTTGATGAGTAATTCATAACATTTCCTTGAGTCTACACACGCACCTGTACCTGTATCACTTTCAGCTACCTCAGAGATACGACAAGCTGGTCCAGAACATTCCAACCCAATTACCAGGATTTTCAGAATTACCGGGAGTGTTTGCAGTGATCCTTGGCACTTTACCCAGTAATATGCTGCACTCATCAGTTTTATGTTACATCCCTTTGGGTCAAATGTGCCCTGAGTTTCCAGGCCCTGATTAACTCACCATTACTGGGAGAAATATATACTGAGAACTAGAGAGAGTCTCCAGTAAACTACAAAACTGGGAAGGTACCAGAGGTGACATAGGGGAAAAATTTAAAGAAAAACATTAAAAATCACAAAATAAAATGTCATATTAAAATAAAAAAAGAAAAAGAACTGAATGTTTCAAAGTTCTGATTATACAGACATGAGCCTGGTAAAAAAAAAAAAAAAAAAAAAAACGAATCTCAGAAGAAGCCATCGGAATTGAAAAGCTCATGTCTGATTATAACTCCATCACCTCTACCAAATGAACTTGTATGCTGTGAGAACAGATCAACTTAAATAGATCTATGAAAACCTGGGTATCTCACTTGGCTGCCAGTCTTACTTACTTCCACATGTTAAAGATCCAGAGTCATGGTGTACTGTATTGCCAGCCAGATAGATACAAATTGTATTCCACCTCCTTCCTTTGTGTATCCATGTTGCCATTATTGCTCCTAAGCAGGAAACTTACAACTAATACTGTTTTTACTGGAATGCATTTCATTTCAAGAGGAAATGTCTGTGGCACATCCTCTAAGAAACTTGTTACCAATTTTTATTTATTTATTCTAACAAATTCACTTCTTGGGGTTTTCCGTTCTTTATTTCACCTTCATCCCTTCTTTATAAAAAAAAATGTCATACTGATTTCAACAATTCAAAATCACTTACTCTGAGTCATGTTCTGTATATTCATTGATAAAATATAGCAAGGGAAAACTCCCATGAGCAGTCCAATCACTATCACCTAAACCAGTCTTGTTTTCAAATCTATCACTCCCACCAAATGTCTAAAATACCCTAGCCATTTGACGTCAACACTGCACTGACTATATAGTACTACTGTATTAAAAACTATATAGTGTTTTCACCCGTTTGCTAATAATACCCTGATTCATACATCTTCATGGCCGGTAGCCAGGGGTGGGGTTCGGGAATTTCAGAGGTTCAAAGAACCCCCTCTTTTTGTCAGGAAAAGGCCCCCCTGGGTAAAATTTTATGAAGGTACATGAAGGTTTCATGGTAAAAGGTCCACTTTTTATTAATATTGCTGGTTACGGGATTGCATCTTTGTAACATTGTTGATATGGTTGTTGCATATATCACAGATATTTGCCCTTTTCAGCCCAGACACCTTGAAATACCAGCCATTATCAGTTCTACCCTATAACCTATCACACAGGAAGCCAGTAGGGAAATATTTATCCTCATAATTTTTGGAAAACGGGGTTTCTGAAACCTGAAACATCACCCTTTTGGCTGTGAAAAGATCTGCTCTGAATCAAAATTTGATCTGGGTCCTACCAGGTATTAGTCAGTATCATGGTACAAACGTCCACTT